GGTGCTTTTGAGTCTAGTCTTGAGAATAGGATGTTATGATAGGGTGCTTAGTATGCTTTAAATATTCTTGGCATGATGCGTTAGGGAAGTTGTCTGATAAAAAGGTCGTCTCTATGTGAAGTGCAGTTTGATTGCTCGGGGAAGGGCAATGGTTTAAGTGTGGGGGTGTTGATGGTAGGCTAGAAACCCGTACTTTAGTCATAGTTTGCACTTTAATTACTGCATTTTACTTGTGGCTGAGCTTAAATAATGGTAATTTGCGCTTATTACGTATTTTATGCCTTGTATGAAATGATTCCGATCTATTAAGATAATTTGGAGATATTTTGAACAAATTTGAGCTTTGAAGACTGAGTAAAAGCCCAAGAAATTAAGTCGGGATCACGTTCGGGGGTCGAGGACCAAGTCTAAATGTCAAAAAGTAAGAAAACAAAAATTACTCTAAGATAATTGCACTACTCGCGGGGCTCAGAGAGCTAGCGCAAAATTCTTGCAAAGTGAAAAATCAACTCTCTAAAAACCCTCACTAATGTGGCACATGGGGCGCCGCACCAGTATATTTTCGCAGTCCAGTTGTCCCACTTCGGCTTGAAAATGGTAGTTTCATTCGGGCCAGTTCCTACATGGTATAAATACACCAAAAATATGATTTTGAGAGGACTTTTGACCTTGGAAGCTTTGGGAAAGCATTAGAGGCTACAAGACTCAGGATTTCATCATCTTTCCATCAATTCAATACGGGAGTTTGGATTGTAATGTTAGATGATGCTTCCTTATTCATTAATTATATTTGTGGTGACTTCTTCCATGATTATGGAGTAGTTTACCTTAAGGTTTGATGGATATGGTATTTTGGTAAATAGTTGTGGATTTTAACTCTAATATACTTTATTCACCGGTCTATTTAATCGAAAGAGAAATATTTTTGATGATTATATCTGCATTATTTTGTTTGATTTAATTTATTGATTCTCTTAAGTAATCAAATGAGTTTGTTGAATTGTTGACTAAATCAAGTTATGAGAATATTTGAGAGATATTTTCCTAAAGACTAATCCATTAACACATGCTTGTATACTTTCATAGTGCTTATATTAGTTCATCTCGTAGTGAATTCGTGAGAATAATTAGATCATTAGAGTGAATTAAACTAGAGTTAAATCTCAATAGCTATCTTGAAGCTATCATGTCAAATCCTAATTCCTCACATTTATAAGAAACCAACTATGCTAATCTCTAATTTTTTTGCAGTCAATTATTAATTGCTTTATTTTAGTAGTTAAACATAGTTCATAATCATTTAACTCAATTGTTAATCCTCCTGAATGGTAATTAAACAAGAAATTATTCGAACATTATTTAAATTCAATCCATGTGGAGACGATATTTTACTATATTATCTTTGACTAGCGAGCAATAATTTTGTGTTGTATTTTGCGCTCATTAGAAGATTAGTGTAGCTTGTGTTCAGGAAATTAGATGGGTGGGATGTAAGGCATTGGACATAGATGAGTGTAAATTATGGTACTCAGGAGGTATAAGGAGAAGGAATGGAATAGGTGTTTCGGTTGATAGGGAACTCATGAAGGAGATGTAAAGGTGAGAAAGGTGAACGATGATGGCTATTAAGCTAGTGGTTGATGAGCTTACTTATAACATCGTTAGTTCTAACACACCTCAATCGGGTTTGTACGAGGAGGTCAAAAGATACTTTTGGGACAATTTGGACGAGTTCGTGTAAGGTATTCCTCTTATCGAGAAGTCATTCATAGGAGGAAATTTCAATGGCCACGTCGGGAAGACTTCTAAGGGCTATGATGGCGTGTGTGGCACTACGGTTTTTGATGAAAGAAACGAAGGTGGTACTTTACTATTGGATTTCACATAAGCCTTTGATGTGATGATAGCTAACTCCTATTTTCAGAAGAAGGAGGAGCACTTGATCACTTTTTAGAGTACGATGGGAAATACCCAAATTGATTACCTACTCTTTAGGATGTGTGATAGAGGCTTATGCTCGAACTGCAAGGTTATCCCAAATGAGAACCTCACGAACCAACACCGACTCTTAGTAATGGGATTTTAAGATTAAGAAGATGAGGAAGAAGAGGTTGTGTATGGTCAATTGAAGATCAAGTAGGGAGCCTTGACTAAGTAAAAAGCTCAGGAGTTAGGGGATAAGTTGATGTCTTTGGGGGCCTGAAGAAGTAGTAGGGACGCAAGTAGTATGTGGACCAGGACAATGGATTGAATTAGGGATGCTGCTAAAGAGGTGTTGTCTCGAAGGATTACTCTGGTAGGCAAAAAGGGACCTGGTGGTGGAGGGTAGAAGTCCAAGAACAAATGGAAGCCAAGAAAGTAACATATTTGAAGCTAGTGGAAAGCAAGGACGAGGAGGAAAAGAGGATGAATAGAGAGTGGTATAAGACATCTAATAAGGAGGCGAAGTTAGCAGTTACATCAGCGAAGACATCAACATTTGGATGCTTGTATGTAGAACTAGCGAAGAAAGCGAGGATAAGAAGGTTTACAAATTAGCTAAGGTAAGGGCGAGAAAGGCCAGGGATATGGACCGAGTAATCATATCAAATACGAAGACGACATAATACTATTAAAAGATACATATATTATACGTAAATGGCATACCAACTCCCATAAACTCTTGAATGAAGAGAGAGACACGCATATTGTGTTGAGTAATTTGGAGAACTCCAAGAGTCATCGAGATTTTTGATATTGCAGGCATGTTAAGGTTGAGGAGGTTGAGGGGGCTATGCGTGGGATGAGCAGGGAAAGAGCTACTGGGCCAGACGAGATTATGGTGAAATTTTGGAAAAGCACGAGCAGGGCAGGTTTAGTATAGCTAACTTGGTTGTTTAATATTATTTTTAAGACGACAAATATGCTCGGGGAATAAAGATGGAGTATAATGACTTTAGTGTATAAGAACAATGATGATATTCAAAATTGCAATAACTATCAGGGTACCAAGCTGCTAAGTCACACTATAAAAGTTCAGGAAAGGGTGGTGAAAATGAGGGTGAGGAGGAATGTGTATATTTTAGAAAACCAATTAGGATTCATGCCAATGCCAAGACGATTGACTACATGGGGCATTCATCTTATACGGAGATTAGTGGATCAATATAAGGAAAGGAAGAGGGAATTGCATATAATATTCGTTAACTTGGAGAAAACTTACAACAAAGTCCCAAGTGTTTCCCTTTGGAAATACCTGGAGACTAGAGGTGTACCCGTAGCATACATTAAGGTGATTAAGAATATATATGATGGAGCTAAGACTTGTGTTAGAACAATGGGAGGAGACTCTAGATACTTTCCTATCATGATGGGATTGCGCCAAGGATAAACTCTTACTCCATTTTAATTTGCCTTGGCAATGAATGTAATGACACACAATATTCAAGTGGAGGTGCCATGGTGCATATTATTTTTTGATAATATAGTTTTAATTGATGAGTTGCGGAGCGATATTAACGTTAGGCTGGAGGTTTAGAAATAAGCTTTGGAGTCTAACGATTTCAGGTTGAGCAAGACTAAAATAAAGTACTTGGAGTGTAAATTCAGTAACATAACTCAAGAGACCGTCATGGAAGTAAGGCTTGGTACACAAGTCATCTCCAACAAAGAAAGTTTTTAGTATCCAGGATCAATAATTTAAGGTAATAAGGAGATTGACGAGGATATCACACACTATATTAGAGCGGGATGGATGAAATAGAGGCTCGCATCCTATATTTTATATAATAAAAATATTTTATCTAAACTTAAAGGTACGTTCTATAGAGTGGTGATAAGATCGTCTACGCTATATGGGGCAAGTGTTCACCGGTTAAAAGTTCTCATATCCAGAAGATAAATGTGGCGGAATGAGAATACTAAGATAGATGTGTGAAATTACCATATGAGATATGGTCAGGAATGAAGATATTCGGGTCAAGGCACGAGTGACATATGTGGTGGACAAGATGCGGGAAGTTTGGCTAAGTTGGTTCGGACATGTGATGAGGAGATGCATAGACGCCCTAGTGAGGAGACGTGAGAGGCTGTCGATGGTAGATTTGATGAGAGGTAGAGGTAGGCCGAAGAAGTATTAAGGAGAGATGATTAGGCGGGACATGACTCATCTCTAGTTTACCAAGGACATGGCTCATAATAGGAGGATGTGGAGATCAAGGATTAGAAAAAAAGACTAATAGGTAATCGAGAGTCTTTCCTTCCTACACCAGTAATTTTATTATTATTCTTTCATTTTTCTTAAATTTTAAGTATTTCCTGATGTTACCTCTGGTCCAATGTATTATTATATTATTATTGTTTCTACATATTTTTCTTCTTTATTCCTACATCTCTTGTTCTAAATTGATATGCTTATGTTTGTTTGAGCCGAAGATCTATCCAAAATAACCTTTCTGCTTGCACAAGGTAGGATAAAATTTGCGTACATATATACTACCCTCCCTAGACCTTATTTATGGGATTAAATTAGGTATGTTGTTGTTGTTCAAAATAGGCAGTTTTTGATAGCTTTGACTCTAAATATATTTAAGTTATCTACGATGACAAATTAAAAGTATATTACACTAATTTTAACATGCTTGTGAATTACCAGGTTTTACTAGGTTAGTAATTGATGTTTATCATTGACATATTGACCTGCAGGTACCTTTAAATGACCTGGACGTGTAAATATTTTTACCTCATCGATATAGAGAACGTAAACTCACTAACTAAATATAATATTCAAATTAAGGAAAGATAACATTGATCAATCATGTGATCCAGATAGAGGCAGATCCAAAATTTTAAATCTATGGATTCAGGTTCCAACCACTGAACCCATCATCTTATTTGAGTTTTGGGTTCATAATTCAACATTTCCAGCAATTTAAGTAATTTTTCATGGAACCACATTAATAATGCTATATCCGCCCCAGGCCTCACGAACTCATAAAGAAAAGGGACTACAACGTACATACCAAAGATTCACCACATGCAGCAGCCACATTGCCACCAGAATATTGTGGTACCTCCGAATAGGGATATGATTTGAATGCCTGAATATTATAAAATGAAGTAGATTAAATAAGTCCAATATTTACATTTCACATAAACCGAAAGAGAGAAGAATATTGCTCACAATTGACGGGGCCATCAGTTCAAATTGATTAGCTGCTTTTAAGTTTTCACCCATGATTGGAGGCATAAATTCTACATGTTTGCCTTCTCGCTTGCAATCACTATCCCCTAGCAAAGGCGGATCGAGAATTTGAGGTATATGTGTTCCTACAATGACCTTAAGTTAATATATAATTATAATTGAATTCGCAGTCAAATATTTATAGATATTTAGTAGATTTCTTAATACATATATAGAATATATTCACGTAAACCAATATGCCATATGCTAGCTCTGCCTCTAGATCTCTGCTAGTAAAAGACAGTATTTGCTTCAACCTCATGGTGCACTCCCCTCTGTCTTTCTCTAGTTGTAGTTAATTTTCAAACTGAAAAGAGCATCACTGTATTCCTAAGTTTTTAAGAGAGAAGATCAAGAGAGGAAAAAGATAGGTTTAGAAAACTTGGAAATTAAATGACAACAATTACTGGTAGAAAGTAATGATAACAAAATTCAGAAGTTGCAATGTCACCTGATCTTTGATGTATTGTACGTCCCACTTCTCCATAAGTACCAGTTCCCATTTCTGATCGTAAATGAAAACTTATATAAATTGAAGAAGAATTAAAGTTTCACACGAAAATCTGACTTCACTTGATTTTCACACGAAAAAAGAAGATGGTTGGTTTTCAGATTTTCACTTGATTTTTACCTTTCTCCAAGTAATTAAGCTTTTACTTCTATCTTAATTAAGCTGCATTTAAGTAAAAACATATAAAAGGAAATTATGGCAATCTAGATTTCTTTTTAATTCAGATGGAAAGATGTAATTGTACTATTTAATTCAGATTTCATGACTAGTTCTCGTATACTATTTCCGAAACCACTAATATATTTATCCATAACAAGTATTGACAATAGCTATATTTATCATTTACTTCAACTTCAAGATAAATAGTGCACGTCTTAGCGTCCAAGTGCTAATTATCTTGAATTTAGGGGTATCAAATGAGCAGGATGGGTGATTTTTGGGTGGATCAAAATGGGTTGAGTCAATAAATAGGAGGTTAATGACTCGCCCAAAAGTTGCTTGGGCTGAGTCAAGATGGGCTAAACTTTGATTTATAGTCTAACCCGCCCAAGTCTCCCAAGCCTTAATTAATATGTGTTGTGAATTGTATAATTACAAAATAAGATTTTTTTTTCTTTCGTTATGGCCATATATAACATATAAAAAAAATTATTTTTAAGATATTTTTGCAAAGTTACTTTTGTTTAACTTTAAATGGGTTAAGATAGAATTAGCTCAAGATAGGCTGACTTCACTAAATAGGCGAGACAATAACTAGCCCAACACTAGATGGGTTAGACGGGTCATTTGGGCTTGGACCAAAGCTCAGCCCTACTTGAATATAGCCGACAATAATTCATAATGCTCCAGAGAGCTTTTTCTGTCCCTTTTCCAATAATCAAGTACAGTATTTTCGAATTTAACTTATATATAGATTGTATAGAAAAATATTTACACTATCAGATTATCATTACGTGTTGTAGAATGTAACTTGCCTTAATTTCAAAGATTATAAATTTCATCTTTAATGAGGGCTTTCTTTAACCATCTTTGGGTGATTTTTTTTTACTGCCTTGATGTACTTTAAGTTAAACTGAATAGAAAAGGAGAAAAAGAGAGCTTTTCCAAATCTATATGCAGACTCTTGTCTTTCACAATTCACATAAGATAAAGAAGTTGGAGGAAAAAGGAGCCCACAAAGAAATTTTAAATCCATAATTGTAGCTAGACACAGAAACGCCAGAAATTAACAGATAATTCTTCCTTATAAACCAAAAGACGATAGAACCAACAATAACGATAGTAGACTTGTCACCATAAATCTAGAGAGATAATAAAATTTCAATAACTTTCCTGATGAAGCAAAAGAGATCATACTAAAATAAGAAAGAGGAAACTAATACAACTGGTAATTAAAGGTCACTCACATGAGATTGATTGGAGACAATTAATATTCTTAATTATAGGCTTTCTCTTTGTGGAATGCATCAACCAGATAAAGATTTACTATGTGCATGCGAGTCCTTATAGTAGGAGACAAAACGAGAGAGAGAGAGAGAATCAAAGAAGGAAGATAAGAAAATGACGTGTGAATATTTAAATATACAACACAATCTAGGATCACCACTGGAAGACAGTGACGCGTCCATTATTCCCTATTAGAAGACTAAAAGGCACTTGTTTAATAGTATTTTTTTTCTGTTTATTATGCTCACTTTTGTGATAAGATAAAATTCTGAGATTGTTTTCTAATTCGCATGATATGTAAAATGATAAGAAACATGACTAGGCAGTAGGCATGCACAAGATATGGCAATTTTGTGAGAGTCTTCCCGCATTCACCTTGAGAATATATGCCTAATTGGTGGTAACGATCCAAAGTGAATTAGCAATTTGAAAACATGAAAAAAGAGAATGAATTTTATTAACCATATTATCCTGATACTTCCTCCGTTTCAATTTAGATGAAGTAGTTTGACTCGGCATGGAGTTTAAGGGGAAAAAAAAGAAAGACTTTTGAAACTTGTGATTTTAAAAGCTTAAGGGGTAAAAGCTTTGTGGAGCCATGAAATTTGTGTGGTTATAAAAAACTTCTCATTAAGGGTAAAATGGGTAAAATGAAGAGATTAAATTTGAATTGTTTCCAAATTTAGAAATGTGTCATTTATTTTGGAACAGACTAAAAAGAAAAGTAACTCATCTAATTTGAAATGAGGGAGTAATTAATTTCATAGCATAGTTATATACTTCCATCATAGCGCGAAACTTTAACCAAAATCTTTAAAGTATGATAAAAAAGAAATATTCTTTTGTTTTGAACTTCTACTATTTGAAAATTACTAACTTGATTAGCCAGTATTGTGTCGGATTCATTAAGTAAGAAGCGTTGTTTATCAAGAATTTTTATTTACAAGCCTCGAAGCAAAGGAATTATGTCATCCATCCTACCATATCCCTTTATAGTATCTAAATAATCAGCATAGTAATAGATAGAATTACCTTCATGCTTATTTTCTCAAAAAATGTTAAAAGTGTAGGTTCCGATCGAGGGTTGAAGTCGTAAAAGCAAAAGAAGGGATAATATAGTCAAAACAATGACAAGACAATACTGGCAAATTGTTGAGACTGCCAATATTGGAAAGTAGTAACGTGTCATTTCCAAAATAGTGAACCTTTAACCCTTTAGGCTTTAGGTCCACAAAATTCAATTTTCTTAAGTGAAATTGCCGCGTGTGTACGGCTTCTGGCTCGAAGCATGATGACTCAACAGTCATATAACGGCGCTGCGCCGTTATGTGCCGGTCTTTGTTTGTCTTGTCGGGAAATTAGGTGGCAAGGTTTACCAATAAGAAACGTTTTCTCTACAACAAGGCAAGACGACATTTCACGGGTCTCCGTGATAGCGACCGTTAACTTTCCACGCGTCCTCCCCACCCGTGATTGTTGTGGTGGCTTCTAATAATGGAGTAAAACTTTCTGCATTTTAGAATGTAGCCAAACAAGTGTGCAATTGTGGAAACAGGAAATGCAATGAATAGTAATGTAATTGTGGTGGAGTAATAAGCATTTACTCGTGCAATTTTGATTTATGTGAATCTATTTTCTTTTTTGTCCGTGCAAAAAAAAAAGATTTTTTTTCTTATTTGGAAACAATTTACCTTTATGCAATCAGTTATAGCCACACAAAAAATAGATAAAATTACAAAATAATGCACTACATAAGTTGACCTTGCACTATTTTAGCCTAATTACAAGTTTGCAAATATGTAGCCAAATATCAATAAGATCTTTTCTTTTCACATTCCCTCTAATTATAACAACCTCATTTATTCCTACCTACCCCTATTGTAGCTCTCTCCTCATTTTTCACCCATAAATATTAAATTTAATTAATAAAAAAAGAATCATATGAAAACAAAACTGAAAAGAAAAATTAGTTCCTCATTCAGTCAACACTCATTCGTGCCTTCTTCCATAACCAATAATTCTCTGTTTTATTTTTTAAATTTTGTATATCCTCAGGTTTATACATACCTATCACAACTGCAAAACGCAAAAACAGACGCGAGAAACCTAAAATCTCATCTCTTTTAATGCTAATCTTGTTAAATTTCGATTATGATTTTGTGAGAAATTTGGAGTGGGTATTGTTTGAACTTATTAGAAATAGTCTAAGTATGTTGTATACAAAGTTTGAAGTTATTTGCTGGAGATTTGGACTAGTTTTATACAAGAATTGCAAGTGAAAATCATACAAAAATTTCGTCAGCGATGCTTATACACTTTTATACAATGTTATACACTTTTATTAAAAATGTATAATCACAGAGTAAAAATATTCTTGATACACTATGTATATAGGTGTATAAGAAGAATGAGAAGAAGAAGAAAAAAAAAGAAGAAGATTTGAGAAATTCACCAAATGCCTGTAAATAATGTATCAACCTTGGATATAACAGTGTATAAGTTATGTTTATACATTATTATATACTATTTATACAATATTATACAAATGAATTCTAGCAATGGAGCTTCACGTGTTCTTCTTCTTCCTTGGGCATCCTGTGAAATTTAACTCAAATATAGCCTAAAGGTACTCCAAATCACTTGAAATTTAAGTTTTGAACTCATCTTGATGATTCCAATCAATTGAGACAACACACATTCCAAACAACTAACAAAAAAAAACTCAATTTCTGAAGTTTAACTCTACTCCAAATCACTTGAAATTTAAGTTTTGAACTCATCTTGATGATTCCAATCAATTGAGACAACACCCATTCCAAACAACTAACAAATCGGAAAACTCAATTTCTGAAATCGAATCTTCGAACCACTTGTAATGGTGACTTCTATTTTTCAAATTCTTAGTTAACCATTAAAATTCGGAAAAGAATTGAAGGAGAATAACAATAGTAGAGAAATTTTGTGGTGCAAAGGCTGACATGGGAAGGAGAAGAAGAACGAAGAAAAAATGGGAACGAAGAAATAAGGGATGGACTAACTGGTGAAAATTAATTTTCAGATTATGTACAACCTGGGCTATCTGGGTAAGGGCTTCAAATATGGGCCATTTTCTGATGGGTTGTTGGGCCAAGTGACAAGGGATGTAATTCTCCCCAAAATATATGTGCCTCATTTTACAGCACAAGTTCAAAAGTCTTCTCTCTTTTCTTAAACTCCGTGCCCAGTCAAATATGTTAACATAGATTGAAATGGAGGGAGTATTTATTTTGGCAAAAGACATACTTTACCATCGACCTTGTCCCCGAATCCCTCTTACACACATGTTAAATACGAGATTAATATTATACAGCAAATTTTTTAAAAGTATGTCTATTACACACCTCTTTTGCTATGTATCACGCGCATGTAATACACATAAAAGAGGCGCGTGAAAGCTAAAAAATCATCTGAAATTAAGTGTTTTTTAATTTATTTTTTCCTTTTTTTTAGTTATTTCCTAACCTATGTCTTCTTCCTCAACCCCAAACCCTAACATTTGCTATCCCCCCCCCCCCCCCATCGTTTCATCTTCTTTCCCAACCCCACCCTAGTTTTGTCTACCCCTTCCTGTTTCGTCTCACCAACCTCCATGACTAAGAAGAAAAAGAATAAGAAGAAGAACAAAGGAGCTATTTGGTCTTGTAAAAATCACCATTGTTGACCTTTTGGAAAAACTTGAAATTTAGTCGGTTCTTGTTGATTTTGGTGTTCCATGAACTAAAAAATTATATTGAATTTGTGATTATTGTTGAATTAATATTAGGTTTGAGCTTGAATATGAAATTTGTTATATGAATTTGTGATGGATCGATGTTGTTGATACTTGTTAAAATCAGCAAAGAGTTGAATCTATAATGGGGGAAGAAGGTGCTTATAATTAAAGTGAAATGATTAGTGGTAGTATGGCAGTGGATAAGGGGCGGAGAAGATGAGAAGGGGGGGGGGGGCTTTTTTTTTTTAGGTTTTTTTTTTTTCTTTTGGAAGATGAGGAGAGGGAGTTTGGGGGTGGGGGGACAGAGGGATTTTTCAACTTTTTTTTCCTTCAATTTATGACACGGGTTGGATGCTGATTGGCACATGTAATAACAATCTTTAAGCAGATGTGGTCAAACACCAAAGTGGTATGTAATAGACACACTTTTAAAAATTTTGGTATGTAATATTATTTTCGTATTTAACAGATGTGCAAGAGGAATTTGGGGACAAGGTCGATGGATAAAATATGTATTTTGCCTTTATTTTTAAGTAGAAGTTTCGGTTCGAATTTTAAATATGAAGTCGCCTTTGGTATAACGCATTTTACCCCCAAAATAAAACTTTCTAACATAAATTCGAACTAGTCAAACCAAAAAATGAATATAGAACACCAGATAAGAAATTAAAAAATAAAATGAAATGAAGTGAAATTAATAGTACTTAACCTTATTACCTTTTATGAAATAATTAAGAGTTTTGGTTAATTGTATTAACATAATTAATCGCAGCATGAAAAGATACATAACATAATACTACCTTTGTTTGTTTTTTTTTTTTTTTTATGTATCTTAACTTGACAAGACATAATGTTTAAGGATATAAAGAAGATTTTTGAATTTTGTAATCTTAAAGGAAAGGTGTGTATATATATATATATATATAACATAGGCTTTCTCAGACCTATCCAGAAGTCTGAAGTTCCGTCTACAGAAGGTTTAATTCTGAGCCGAATCTCTATTTATTGCCCTATTCCCTTTCCTGACCAAAGTCACTAAGGAGGATAAAAAATATTCTTTGTATTTTGTGATTTTAAACGCGTCATGTTATTCTTATATGATATCGTTATTAAATGTAAAATGGGAAAGTTGAAATTTAAAACTTACTAAATATTATAAAAAAAAAAAAGAAACACATAAATTGAAAATAATATATCATTTTACATTGTCTCTTGATTCATTATTGATAGATTAAAAACAGGTTCTTCTTTGCTTTAAATTATCACTTCTTCAAGAATCACGTGATTTTAAACCAAAATGGAAAGGAAAA